TATTAAGCATTGATATCGTATGTGCTACGTGATGGCCTGGGTTGGGTTATGTTTGGTTTGGTTGAGATGGGGTTAGGTTAAGTTAAGTTAGGTCAGGTTATGTTCAGTAAAGGCAGGTTAGGTTAGGCTAGGTTAGATATAATGCTGTAAGTAACGGCAGCGAGTGAGGCATTCAGCTGGGTTGCATCCCTCACGTCCTCCCCTACCCTCCTCCCCCAACCCCTACACCTCAACACCCCCACCCCAACACCCCCACCCCATCCTCCACCCCCACCCTCCCAACCCTCCCTCCACCCCAACCCTCCTCCACCCCCAAACCCTCCCTCCACCCCAACCCTCCTCCACCCCCCCAACCCTCCTCCACCCCCCCAACCCTCCTCCACCCCCCAACCCCTCCTCCACCCCCAACCTCCCTCCACCCACTCCCAACCCTCCTCCACCCCAACCCCTCCTCCACCCACCCCAACCCTCCTCCACCCCAACCCTCCCTCCACCCCCAACCCCTCCCACCCCTAACCCCTCCTCCACCCCAACACCTCCCACCCCAACACCTCCTCCAGCCTCCCCCACCCCTCCTCCACCCCCCACCCTAAAACCCCTCCCACCCCACCCCTCCCTCCCACTTCATTCCTCCTCTCCTTCTCCACCCCCCAACCCCCTCCACCCCCCCAACCCTCCTCCACCTCCCCAACCCTCCTCCCACCCCCCAACTCTCCTCCACCCTCCCAACCCCTCCCTCCACCCCCAACCTCTCCTCCATCCCCCCAACCCCTCCCTCCCATCCCCCAACCCTCCCATCCCCAACCCTCTCCTCCATCCCCCAACCCTCCAGTCCCCCCAACCCCTCCTCCATCCCCCCAACCCTCCCATCCCCCAACCCCTCCTCCACCCCCCCAGAATGTACTCTTAATATTCTCGGATAACTCGGCACTTGATCGTGACCTGCTCCCGCCCTATCTTTTACCTTCAAGAACAAACACCTATTAAAACTTTGGGAGAGTTGTCAGGCGCTAACATCAATCTGAGATCCTGCTACTGCCTCTCTCTCTCTTCTCTCTCTACTTTACCTTTCTTCACTCTCTCTCTACCTCTGTGTCTCTACTTCTCTCGCTTTCTCTCTACTTTCTCTCTCACACTCTTTTAAAACTACGGTACAGGTCGAGTCATTCTCCTCCTGCTGTTGTTGTTTGTCTGAGTACTTCAATACTTAGGTCTTCAAGCACGGACTCCTAACGTACAGTAAATAGGTCCACGTACACTAGACAACAACGAAGGTCTTTAAATACAGTAAAACCTCCATATAGCGGACTTCTCTCTCTCTCTCACATTTAACGGACTCTCGATATAACGGATTTTCAGCTCTATATTGTATGTTAGATTGACAGTTTCACCTTACACTCTATTTACTAAACATATGGAATTTTTTTACTAAACGACTCGACACGTATTTTACGTTGGTCATCTTACCAGTCATCATCAATCTTACCAGTCATCAACCAATCTTATCAGTCATCAACCAATCTTACCAGTCATCAACCAATCTTACCAGTCATCAACCAATCTTACCAGTCATCAACCAATCTTACCAGTCATCAACCAATCTTACCAGTCATCAACCAATCTTACCAGTCATCAACCAATCTTACCAGTCATCAACCAATCTTACCAGTCATCAACCAATCTTATCAGTCATCAACCAATCTTACCAGTCATCAACCAATCTTACCAGTCATCAACCAATCTTACCAGTCATCAACCAATCTTACCAGTCATCAACCAATCTTACCAGTCATCAACCAATCTTACCAGTCATCAACCAATCTTACCAGTCATCAACCAATCTTACCAGTCATCAACCAATCTTACCAGTCATCAACCAATCTTACGAGTCATCAACCAATCTTACGAGTCCTCAATCATTCCAGACCACAAGAATCGTCCTCAGAAGACCATACCACCCGACGGCACCACTTTTAAAATGATGGAACTTGGGGAACAGCTCATGGACGTCATCCCTCCCTATGGCTACTGGAACATGCAGTTTTACCAGTCTGAGTCCGCCTATGTCAGGTTTGATGTGTCCATACCGAGGGGGTCTTCTATAGGCGTGTACGGCCGAAGGAACGCCCTCCCTACCCACACCTCCTATGACTTCCTCCAGGTGCTGTCGGGATACAAGACAGCGTCAGGTCGCACCACCAGAGCCTCCAAGGTGAGTATTAGTTAATGGTTGTTAATGTCACTCTAACAACCATTGCATGTTGATAACCAGTTACAGTTTGTACACGTTGTTTAGAGAGAATGGTTGGGGATTTTCTGATGTATGGAGGAGCACAATTAGTCAATTTGACTCACAATTACTCAGAATTTGACTCAAACACTCAGAATTTGACTCACAATTACTCAAATCTTGACTCACAATCACTCAGAATTTGACTCACAATCATTCAGAACGACTCACAATCACTCAGAATTTGTCCACAATCACTCAGAACGACTCACAATCACTCAGAACGTGGCTCACAATCACTCACTACTCGACTCACATGACTCGTACTCACCCGCTGACACACTCATCTCCTGACACTCACCACCTGACTCACACTTACTCGTTACTTGAGTCCTTGGCAGTATGTTTTACCTGACTCACTCATTCTTGGTATAGCGCACTTGACACATTTATTCACCGAAGAGAGCTGAATCGCCCTCACTCACTCACTCACAATACTCAACCAATTTTCATCCCCAGCTACAGCCAAACTCCTTTTACACAACCTGTTTTTATCACCAGACATAAGTATTCTCCTTTACACAACCCGTTTTCATTGCACCAGACACAACTAAGGGATTAATTCACAAATTATTCAACTCAAATTGTCCTTTCACCTAATAACCATCCACCTCCTTGTTACGTTTTGTCACGCAACACTCACCCATCGTCATCACTATCAACACCGTAATGTACTGTGACCTTGTGTGACCTAGGCTCCCTGACCTGACCTCCTACGATCTCAAGTTTCTCCTGTAAATATTGAAGGTTTATATTCAGTCTGACTCATGTCCTTCAAGTTCATAGCCTCAGTCCAACCAGGAGCTATTACTCTCAAGTTATAACTTCACCTACGTGTATGTGAGTTACTTGAGCGTTACCACAAGACTCAAGGAGCAGGTATATATGCTTCTGGTAGTGTGTGTGTGTGTTAGTTGATCGTATCGTGGTAAGTACAGTCAGTGGAGGAAGAACAATATGTACGTCCCAGTTAACTAGCAATAACACGTTCCTTTGACTGTTATAAGACCCACTTACTAGATCACAGCACTACGTATATCCCAGTCAACACGAACCAGTCAGTCCCTGTCAACTGGTGGCCACATAACCTCCCAGTCAAAAAAAAAAGAAACTGTCAAAACCTTGGGAGTTCACCACAGCCATTCCCGTTCCACCATGTTGCTCGGCGCCGCTGGTGAGGGAGATTGTGGGATTGACATTTCTCACTGCTTTTAAGGGCTTTTAGGACTGGAGGTAAATCGGTAAATGTTGTACCCTGGAGTGAGTGAGAGAGGGGGGAGGGTATACCTATTAGCTAATTTCTTACTTACCTACCTACCCCCCACCTCTCTCTCTGACCACAACACCCAGAAGCGCTACACTTACCCAGGGAATATAAATGGCTGAGATTTAAGAGTGCCACACACAAGATTTAAGTCCGTCAAGTATGTAAATGGTTGAGATTTTCGAATGCACACAACATTTACATAAGAAATACACGAGTCTCCCCTGGTGTCAAGTCTCGTTTTCTCTTCTAAAGGGACGAGGAGGGTGTTGCTACCTTATTTGACCAACCTCACTCATGTTCCTCCTGTTCCACACCTTCCTGCCACCTCCTTTTCTTCTTCTTCTTGTCAGTCATTGTCGTTGATAATATTATTATTATTATTATTGTTGTTGTTGTTGTTGTTGTTGTTGTTGTTGTTGTTGTTGTTGTTGTTGTTGTTGTTGTTATTAATATTATTGTTAATATTCCTCTTCATATTTCTTACATTTTATTCTTTTCTTTATCTTTATTTATAATTCTTTGTTGTACCGTCCTCTCTCTCTCTCTCTCTCTCTCTCTCTCTCTCTCTCTCGGTAAACAATAATATAATTTTATATATTAATCACTACGCGTTTCGAGACATCAGTTGTTTAAGCGTAATAAAGTATCATAGAAAACGCGCTTCGGGGAGCTCGTTTTTTGAAGCGCAGTAATACATCAACAACACACCCCTATCTCTGCCTCCTCTTGCAGGCACCATCACAGCCGCAGACGATGACCAAGTACCTGGAGCAAGGTCACTGGTTCCTCAGCCTCTACAACGACGACGGAGATCCACAGGAGGTGTCGCTGACGGGGGATGTGTCTTCAGAGTTCACGGAGGGGTGTCCTAGAGGGTGTTCAGGCAATGGTGACTGTATCCTCGGGTCCTGCCAGTGTCACCCGAGCTTCGCTGGTCCCGACTGTACCCAGAGTGAGTACCCGAACTACTGTATTCTCTTGTATTTTTTTATTCTGTATTATATTTTATTTGTGACGGGTACAGCGACTTCCTACAGTATCAACGTTACAATAGATTTCTTCTGTATTTTGTGTTAAGGTTTTCGTATATTACAGTTATACAGGTGCACCATTATCCTCACCCCACCTCCCATAACACCGTCTCTGTGAACCCGGAATAAGAGACAGACACACACACGATAAGACACATTACAGCAGCCGACGGGTTATAGCGAGCGATGCATTACAGCGGCTGGGGGTCCAGGAGCAAGTGACAGTGGACCCCAGCTTTCATTTCCCTCACAGCGGGGGTCGGTCGTCGCTCCCAGAGCCCCCCCACCGTCAATGTGTGTATGGTGGTAGCTGGCCAGTCCTTACCTGCCTTAATACTTACCTGGGAGTTGGGTCAGAGGATTTACGGAGTTTTTTGTCTTTTGTAAATGAATGAAAAACAAAAAGTGTGTGTGTGTGTCCATACACATATTCTGTACATAAATGCAACAACATACATACATACTTACATATATACATACATACATACTTACATATATACATACATACATACAAAAATCGAATAGAATACAAGAATAAATCAAGTATTTCGTTCCATTTTAAGCAAATTCGTGTTTTTTGTGTTTTTTTTTTGTGAGTATGACCCGTGTGTAGAAGCCTGCCCCTCCCTGCACTGGTCGCCGGGTTTCTTTCAAAGGGAAATAAATCGAGTTTCTTGTATAGGGAAGGACCCGTTAAAGAGTGGGTGTGGATAGCAGACACTAGTCCTTATTCTACGCCTGAGGCACTTTTCAGTTTAGTCTTTTTTCTATATAGCTGTCGTGAGGTGTTTTGTAGTGGGTGTATGGGTGTATGTATGTATGTAGTGTGTTTGTTAATGTCTCTCTCTCTCTCAGTAAAGTATTATTGTGTCAGGTGATATACATCTGTCACACGTATACTGTATACCTGTGTGTAAGAACGCTGCAGGTAAACCATTAGTACCATTAAAAATACACACCTGTATGTTCACTCGTCAGGTATTTTATCACACTGGAATATTAATATACACAAAAAATACAATAGCCTTTGTGAACTAAAACAAAAATGCATTATTGTATTTGTATTTCTCTAGTCAGTGCTGGAAACATTGACGTGTAAGGTAAGAATACAATACCTTATGTAAACAAACGATACAGGTAAGAATACAATACCTTATGTAAACAAACGATACAGGTAAGAATACAATACCTTATGTAAACAAACGATACAGGTAAGAATACAATACCTTATGTAAACAAACGATACAGGTAAGAATACAATACCTTATGTAAACAAACTATACAGGTGAGAATACAATACCTTATGTAAACAAACGATACAGGTGAGAATACAATACCTTATGTAAACAAACGATACAGGTAAGAATACAATACCTTATGTAAACAAACTATACAGGTGAGAATACAATACCTTATGTAAACAAACGATACAGGTGAGAATACAATACCTTATGTAAACAAACTATACAGGTGAGAATACAATACCTTAAGTAAACAAACGATACAGGTGAGAATACAATACCTTATGTAAACAAACGATACAGGTAAGAATACAATACCGTATGTAAACAAACGATACAGGTAATAATACAATACCTTATGTAAACAAACGATACAGGTAAGAATACAATACCTTATGTAAACAAACGATACAGGTAAGAATACAATACCTTATGTAAACAAACGATACAGGTAAGAATACAATACCTTATGTAAACAAACGATACAGGTAAGAATACAATACCTTATGTAAACAAACGATACAGGTGAGAATACAATACCTTATGTAAATGATGAATACCGGTACAGTGAAACCTCTATATAACGAACTCCTCTCTCCATATAATCCGTTAAATGGGGAGTTCATATCTAATAGGCCCTCGATATAGCGGATTTCCATCTCTGTATAGTTCGTTAAATGGAGGTTAGGTTAGGTTAGGTTAGTGTTACGTTAGCGTTAGATTTGGTTAGGTTAGGTTAGATGTCGTTTGTTGTGGCCGTCATTGAGGTGTGGCTTAAAAGACGTTCCCTAATGGCCTGTGACCCCCGGACCACACGCCCCCGCTTGGGTAGAATACACGCCTTTGGGGGCTTGCTGTGTGGTGGCTGGGGTTTAGCTGGTTGATGACTGCGTGTGCCTCGCTGACACTGAAGCAACCAGAATACATCCAAAATCTAACCAAAACTTGACTTAAACCTAACCAAAACCTTACTAAAACCTTACTAAAACCTAACTAAAATCTGACTCAGACCTAACCAAACCCTAACCAAACCCTGACCAAACCCTGACCAAACCCTAACCAAACCCTGACCAAAACCTATTTTAACCTAATTTGATATGAATTTGCCCAAAGTTTTCAGAGAGGGATTAAATGACGTCATAATGGATAAGGACCAATTAGCGTTCGTCATATCCACATACGCGTGGGTTTTTCTCTTGAGCGACCTCCTCCTTTCACCCCCTCCTCCCTTACCCCTTCCCCCCCATCACCCCCTCTCCCTCCCTCTCACCCTCCTCCTCCTTTCACCCCCTCCTTCCTCCTTCCTCCCTCCCTCCTACCCTGTTTCGAGTCATCACTCCTGAGTCACTCCAGTCACCCAGTTTAGGACTTAGGAGAGAGAGAGAGAGAGAGAGAGAGAGAGAGAGAGAGAGAGAGAGAGAGAGATTTGAGTTAAAACACCTGGTTAATGGACGAAGAATATTTACTCTGTATTTCTTTAACTGTGGCGGCTAATCATCTCCAGGTGAACGAATACCTTCTCCCACCTTGTTAGTATATAGTGGCCACCTGCCTTGTGTTTACCTGTGTAGTGGGATCCCTGTGTATTGATCGCCTCTTCTTGCAGTAATGACCTACACTTTGTCATGTCAGTTCCTCACCCCACTTGCAATATTGTGTGAGTCGTTTGATGTTGCGCCGCGTGTATTGTAAGTTACTGTCCTTAGGTGTCTTGTCGAGCAGAGTGTATCCAGGACTGTCACTTGTCTAGATACTTCCCGACACTTCCCGATACTTCCCGACACTTCCCGATACTTCCCGACACTGGATCCACCCCTTCAGTATCGATGTTATGTATCAGGGGTCAGGAGGAAGCAGGAAGTGGTGGTGGTACCTCATAACGGTTAGACTATGAGGTTAGGAGTCATGAGGTTGAGTTTTGGACAGTAAGAGGGTGGGGTTAGGGGGGGTAGGGGGAAGGGTAGGTGAAGGGGTAACAGAAAAGAAGAGGGTAGGTGGAGGGGTGAAGGAGGTTGTTCATCATGGTAGGTGGGGGGCGTCTCAGGTTCTCCGACACTATAATGAAGACAGGTTATGACGCCTCGTGTGTCACCTGGGCTGACTGGCTGCACTACAAACGAATATTTGATTGTGACTTCAACTTCAGTGTGAATTATCCTGGGCGGTGTAACGTGGTGCCGCTCCTACTGACATGATTTATGGACGAGCTTGGGAATTTTCTTTAGAGGTCCTGATGTGGTTGTGTTGTGTTGCGTGTGTTGTGAATGTGGTGTTGTCAGGTGTTGTGAATGGGGTGTTGTTAATGTGGTGTTGACAGTTGTTGCGTGTGTTGTGAATGGTGTTGCAGGTCAAGTGAGGTCTTAGTAGGAATCAAACTGACCTGACCTGACCTGGTAAAGGCAACTAGGCTTGACAGATACTCTCCTCTCTCACCCACAGGTACCTCCCTCCCTCACCCACAGGTACCTCCCTCCCTCACCTACAGGTACCTCCCTCCCTCACCCACAGGTACCTCCCTCCCTCACCTACAGGTACCTCCCTCCCTCACCTACGGTACCTCCCTCCCTCACCTACAGGTACCTCCCTCCCTCACTTCCATGGTAATTTCTCCTCACCTACGGTACCTCCCTCCCTCACCTACGGTACCTCCCTCCCTCACCTACGGTACCTCCCTCACCTATGGTACCTCCCACATTAATATTACGTATGACCGTTTTTGTCATCGTTTATCAAGCTGTCTCCTTTGTCTCCTCCCGTGTTGGTGAATCATTTAGTTACGTCGTGTTGTTGTGATTTGTGTTTGTTTGTTTGGTGGTTTATTTTTGTTTGTTTATTTTTGTTTGTTTGTTTTTGTATTTGTTTATTTTTTGTTTGTGTTTTTTTTTGTTCGATTGTGTGTTTATTTTTGTGTTTGTTTATTTTTGTTTGTTTTTGTTTGTTTTTGTATTTGTTTATTTTTTGTTTGTGTTTTTTTTGTTCGATTGTGTGTGTGTTTGTTTTTGTGTTTGTACCTGACGTTACAGTTTGGGGAAGTGAAGGCGGTAGATTACAGTACCGGCCATACTGCCTCATTGTGTACCGAAGGCTCAGTATACTGTATACTGAGTGGACAGTATTATAAACACGTTCACCTAATAACCTAAATTACTACTTCACCTAAATGAGTGTGTAATGTATGTTAATTATTTATTATTATTCATTAACCAAAAATATTGCCCCTTTTTAACATGACGTGTACTTTAATAATTACTGTTTATGCTTTATTACGTGTCGTTCAGTGTGTGTGTGTGTGTGTGTGTGTGTGTGTGTGTGTGTGTGTGTGTGTGTGTGTGTGTGTGTGTGTGTGTGTGTGTGTGTGTGTGTGTGTGTGTGTGTGTGTGTGTGTGTGTGTGTGTGTGTGTGTGTGTGTGTGTGTGTGTGTGTGTGTGTGTGTGTGTGTGTGTGTGTGTGTGTGTGTGTGTGTGTGTGTGTGTGTGTGTGTGTGTGTGTGTGTGTGTGTGATAAGCGCCTACTGACACTATCAACATGGTGTGGCAACTCGGTGATGACAGACAGACAGACAAATACAGTGTATTGGTTCAGAAGACTCGTGTCGCTGTGACTGATAGCGGCTGTACGTCAGGGTAGGTGGGGTTAGCTTAGGTTTTTGAGCGAAGTGTAATTATAATAGTGATGGTGGT